GAGTGTGACTCAGACAGCAAGCACACACTATGCAATATGGTTTATCCTGTATTTATTTGTAAAAATATCAGACATAGATCCTCTATATATATATATAATAGTGTCAAAATTACTAGTTGTGAACTAAGGGGAGTGGAGTTCTAGCTCCTGTCTGGCTATTTCAGATAAGTGCAGAATGCATTGAATATTGGAGAGCTTAACAAGTGCTTTCTTTTGTTCATTTAAAAATGTCTTAAATTTTTCATTAGAGTATAGAATCTTATTTTTTTTATTTTGTACAAGCTGCGCTTTTTTAATTATAATCACTGAAAAATTCACTATAATTTGATTTTATAGGATTTTTGTAGCATTACAAAAATATAGTAAAACTGAGGTTAATACCTGTTGTGGCTAACCATATAAAAGTATTAAATCTTAAACTTGAACAAAAGTCATATTTTTTTTTACTACATGTTAAATAGGGGACTGTTTTGTTCTGCAGGTCATTATCACAAAAGGTTCATAGGTCAGCTGTGTTACCAGCAGTTTTTCTTTCCCATTTGATGCAGAAACTATTCTGGTATAAGATATTCAGAATTTCATAATTCTCTGTGGGAGTGATGCATACATTTGATGCCATTCATGTACTAAATTGTAATTTTGGGAATGCTGGAATAATTCCTACCAAGACTGTCTTAATTGTGCCATCTGACATCTGAATGTCATCCTGGTATTAGCTCATAATAAAAGATGAAAATAAATGAGTCAATTCTTCTTTTGAATATCCCTTTTTTTTGGGGGGGGGGGGGGGTCTAAAAGCTGAACTGCTGGAGAACATTTAATATTTGAGTCCACTCTAACTACACAGTTGATGTTTACTTTGGGTCTAGTCTCTTTAATACGAATTCCCATTCTCTTCCTGTTAATCAGAAAGTGCATCAAACATTGAGGGAGACTGCTGTTGTTCTTAGGATATCTACTGGGGTTTTGGGGTCTAGGTTGGCTTTTTTAAAATCCTGTCTCTACAGCAAGATGATCTCTGCTTCAGCTTCCCAGTTTAGAGGGAAATGCTTTCTTCTGAGAGGTAAAGGAGAATTAATTAAGAACAAGGCATATCATTACTTTATATAGTCTTCCTGCAGATCCTTGATGATATATTGTATACAGTTCCTATATATGAAATACACGAACTTCCACAGATTGTTCTCTTCTAGATTAACTTGGCTTTGTAGCAGTCTTCAAGAAACAGACTTGAGCTGCCTTAGTAGAAATAAAAGTAATCCCTGTTCTGTTTTTCATCTTTCATAGTTTACTGGAACTAAATATACTCAACTGCTGAGTAAGATGGATGCGAATAGCAACTAAATGCAAATTTAAATGTATGCTAATCCAAGTGACCTTTTTTTTTTTTTTTTTAGGAAGTATGTAGGCCCCAAGTCTTAACTGTGGGTCTAAATCATTGTCTTTCATGACAGCTTTGAAGGGAAAGGGAGGAAAGAGGAACTCCACTGAGAACTTAAAGGACCTGATAGATGCTAGTGCTAGTTCTGATCAGTTGTACCAAGGGCTGGCACCTTCACCAAGGTTCTTAAGCTCTTAAAAGAGTGCCTGTGGATTGCCACTTGTCATCCTCTTTTCTGTTCTGTCTCCTGCAGTCAGATGTGTGCTGGGTGTCTGTGTGTCTGTGTGTATGGAAAGCAGGGCAGCTACCCTGGTTTGAGTGAGCTTAAGAAGGAAGAGTTGAATCTTAATTGCATGATGCTGACAAGTGGATCAGAGAGGATGTCATTCATGGATGTAAGTAACTTGCTTTTTTTCTTGTTTGTAACTGAGAATGACTTTTTTCATTTATGAAGTGTAAATTCTAACTGGTTGATCAAAATCTCTTTTTAGTTCTTTGTTTTTTAATAAAATGTGTTTGATAATATTACTGGGTTTGGATAATTTTCACTGTATCTTGAACAAAAAAGAAAATCATAAACAGAATAAAAGACAAATTGTTCCCTGCTCCTATCTCTACCCAATATCTACCCTGACTAAGTAAGCTGTTGTTACTACTCTGTGACAGACAAAGACCAAAGGATCAGCAACAACCCAGGGTTGACTTAAAGCACTGATGCCATGTTTTTGTTGTGCTCCATTAGATAGTCTTTGGTGAGCTTTACGGGCCACATGATCCTGACAAGTTCTTGTGTTGAGGGTTTTTGGTTTTTTTTCTTAACCGTAAGTGTAGTACTTCTAAATCAGTTTCATATTTTTTTAGTAATAATGCTGGTCTGACTCGAGGTCTTAATTCCTCAGCATAGAGTATCTGGCTCAGATACTGAACTACCTATTGAGGTAAGTAGTTGATAAAGAGTTCCATTCTACAGAAAATTTAGTTCAGGTTAATTTCTTTCCCATTTCCCTGTATGAAACTTCTGTACTCACAATCTGTACCTTCCCAGTTAAGATTCCAGGAATGCACATGGTGATTTAGACCTCTTGTTCTAAAAAGATTTTTGAAAAGCTGTCGCAGACTACTGGAATTCTGACGAATGGCTGCCTATTCCAGGTAGGTGGTGAATTTAATGAAGAATCTAACCAGTAAACTTCCTAGTATCAGGAAGTGCATTTCCTTGTTCTAACATCATGTCTAATCTGATGAATTTAGGTTATATTTTCTCTGAGAGGATTTTTTAATTAAGAAGTGATTAAGCTGTTGGTATTGGCATTTCAGGAAAAGCTAATCCAGGGTTAGCTACAATTTTTGGTTTGCCCCAGTATTTTAGGAAGGGTTGGTTATTACATCTGCCCTTCTAAGCTGCGTATTGGGCTTAGTCATGCATTTTACTCATACAAGCAGAGCTTTTTTTAAAGGTGTTACTTGTTCACTAAATTAAGTAGAGCACTTATTGTGTTTACACAGTACCCACACAATGCCTGTATGAAGAGAAAAACCTTAAAGCTCTCTTTAGCTCAACCATATGTTCATGATTAAGTTTGGGAAAGCCTAAATACAGTTGTGTAACCAAGTCAGCTGTCAGTGTCTTTGTGGGCCCACCAGAGATTCAGAATCCAACCTTAAGTTCCCCCTACAGTTTTTTGTTCTTCGACTGACTCAGTTCTTGTCCATCTCTCAAGGGAAGCTCTGCAGCAGCAGCAGTCTGAGTATCAGCACTGATGAAATTTAAATAACAAACAGTTCATCTTGTATGAACTTCAAATGCAAGTTAAGGCATAGCTAGATCTCTCTGGGGAAACAAAAGAGCAGTTTGTTCTGGCAGACCTGGAGATACAGGCACAAGGCCCTTAACAGCACAGCTGCGGCTGTGACCTGACCAAGCTCTAATTCTTCCCTGCCACCCTCAGGATTGCTCTGATGCCATTCAGCTGCACATTCTCCAAACTAAGTACCTCACCTGCTGGGAAAGGCTTCCATGAGAACCAGCCTCTTCTACCCTCCCCCCCCAAGTTTCCACTTACAGATTATTTTTTTACAGAAGATTTTGCCTGTTTTCTTTAAGCTGGAGTCTTTTTGCCCAGTCACTCCAGTACCACGGTGAAGCAATGATAGGACGTATTTACACTGAAGTGCAGTAAACTTCAAACAAATATACAATTAGAAAATACAAAACACGCTATAGCAAAACCCAAGCTGAATATAAAACGATACCTCTTAGCTCGAATCTTCCATCTCAAATACTAAATTCTACTGGTTTAGCTGTACCTTTAAGGGTGCTCTCCTGTCATGCTCTGTTGGCCCTGTGTCAGCTGCAACTTCATAGTACTCAGATACTCTGCCTGGCTAGTTGAGTTGCTACATCGTAACATCAAGTAAGTATCTTTTAAATTGTAGGGTTTGGGGTTTTTTTTCAATATTTACAAATTTCCTGCAAGTATTAAGACATGCTCAAGTTAATGCAACTCAGTTTAACTTTGCTGAAACAATAATTTGAGTGTTTTTTCAGTTTTACCTGAACAGCAAGGTGAAAAAAGACAAGTAGGAAAAAAAATAAAAGGGAGATTATACCTAAATTAGCTCTATAATTAGCATAAAGACTAGTCATGGATTAGTTGTAGCATTTGGATGGTTTTTGTTTTTCAGAGACATTAGTTTAACAGGAAGAGTATAGCTAGCAGTGAGCTGTTCTGTGCTTAGGTGTAGGTTCATACTTGAAACAGTAATGAATCTTGTTTCTTTATTCAACATGCACCAAACAGATAGATTTAAATGTATTTATTCTTTCTGATTTTTATGCATGCTACAAATTGCAAATATAGTATAAAATAGATTCTCCCCTGTAAGAAAATCTGGTTCTTGTTATGACAAAAATATAGTATTAAAGATTTGTTTTAAAAATATCAACTTTGTAAAATGTTAAGTAAAAAACTACCATTAGTGGTCGGTTTCTGTATTGAACCAAATATCCATTAGAAGCCTACAAGAACCTAAGGGGGGAAAGTCTTATTCTTGTGGCTTATCTCCAGGTACAGTGAGAAATAGTTGCTGTTACGGGTGCATGAGTAAGAAGCTCATTTCTCTCATCTCTTGGGCAAGCATTAAAGGATCTTTAATGCAAAAAGTGACAAGTAGCTCTAATTCTCACTGTAGTCCAGAGTACAAAATTTGCTCATTAGCTTAATAAAATTGGTAAGTCAACCTTTTGATTTGAGTCATGTTAGAAAGATAAATACAATTTAGTACAATCTGGAACTCTACTTAAAACTTTTAAATAAAATGTTGCATTAAGAAGCTGCTACAAGAAGTAATGCAGCATTGTTTCAAAGACTTGTTTCCTACAAGCATCACAAGAGAAGCAATGCTGACTTTTCTGCATCCATCCTGAAAACTTACTTTTCTTATACTTAAGGTCAAGTTAACATTTTCCGTGCTGTTCTAAGTACCGGAACATTTCATAGAAGCACGTTATCTAGAACTTGGAAACTCATTCCGTGTGCCACCTACAATTTAATCTGCAGTAAACTGAAAAACCTTGGCTTGAACAAACAAACTGTAAACCAAGTTGTTTCGACATGCTTTAGAAAATCTGTAGATGCATAGATGTGGCTCCATCCTTCCACTTGTTAACATGGTCTGCAATAACAGTTCTGCAGAGTGGACACGTTTTTTCTCTATTAAACCATAAAGAGATGCATTCTTCACAAAATGTGTGCTGTAATGAAAAGAATGAGAACTTAGAGCTTCTAAGCTCTTCCATTTATAAGATGGTATATTATTTGCATAGCCTGATTTCTAAAAATAATCAGACGACACACACTCACTAATCTGACTTCATGTTGGTTTGTTTACCAGTTGATTAAAGTATTTTTAAGTTTGCAAAAAATAATTCTGATGGTGTGTATTACCTGACAGATAAGCAGAATAGGCTTCTGAAATTCAGCTTGGCAGATTGAACAAATGTCATCCGATTCAGAACACTGTCTCTTGCTAGCTGTCACCCCATAGTGCTGTAAAACAAGGGATTTTCAGGTGTTAGTTTCTAGGGAGAGTAAAAAGTCAAAACAAAACACAGAAATACCAGGACAGAAAGGAACTGGGAATAAGGGCTGCTGTGCCAGGAAAACTATTCAAACCTTATCCAATGAGATGTTGCTGTGGTTTTTAATAGTTGTCTTGGGGACTAAAGCTTATCTGCTCCTACATACCATGCTGTCTAGTTAGTGTCTTCCCCTAATCACAGTTACTGGATAAACAGCAGGTTTATTTTAACAGTGTCCTCTGAGCAAAATGCTGCGGTAAGTTCCAGTATGATTAAGATAGCACTTAGAAAATGAGAAGTGCTTTACTGTTCTTTTAGTTCAATGAAACTGTGCTCCAAAACTTTCTCTGCATTTTACTAAATAAATAGCAGGCTCTAAACAATATGTCTACTACAGAGAAAGATTATCTAGAAACTCAGAATTGTAACAAGTTACTTGCGTGTCAGTTATTTTGGCAAGATTCAATTAGCACTGTATTTCAAGCATAAAGCTCTGTCTGCATCCAACCAAAGTTTATTCCAGTTAAAAAGCAGGAAAAGGGACAAAAAAGGTATGTTATTTCACATACGTTCACCTGAAGAGACATGCAGAATAGATCTGGGGAATAGGGGGTGTTGTTCGGATGACAATGTAATCACGCGGTCAAGGAATTCAGACTGTAAAATGGGAGAATGAGTATATGGAGGGGGTTTACTTTTAAAATACAGTTGTCTATTGCTAGAACAATAGAAAGTAATACAGGAATGAGGTTATTTAAAGAAGTGTTTTCATGTAAATTGGGTTTCTTGTTTTGTCGTAAGAGAATTCGGTACTCACTGGTCGTGTAAAAAATATCCGTAAGACCTGCCTGAAGTTTCTCAATTGTCCAAAAAAGCTCAAAAGCTGAAATGAGAAAGAAAACTTGAGTTACGTGTAGTATTTTTTTCTGTGAACTAAAAAGCTTTGAAGCTTTTGTGCAGATTCTAACATTACAAGTCTTGCTGCTGGCAGGAACCTAAGCAAAGCTATAGTTCAGACTGACCCCATTTAATTGCTTAATATGTAACCAAACTAAGAATTTAGCCTGCAGGTTTTTTCCCAGTAGGTGTCTGTTCTTCAAAAGAAAAATAGTGTTGATGTTCTAAAAGGAAGCATGCATGTGCAAATATATCAGCATTACTGTCATATACACAATAGTCTCAAACTTGTAATTAAGATACCTTAGCATTATGAAGCATTTTTCCTGTTCAAAGCCAAACTTGTGCCAAGTCTGGTTACATCTGGGGCAGGTTAGCTCTCTGGTGAAGTAGACAGCCAGTATGAACACTTATGTTTAACTTCTTTAGCATCACAACAGGTCAATATAGCAGAGAGAAAAATCTAATTTCCTGGAAAATGTTGATTCTTTTAGCCATGAATTTTCCCTTTATTTTTGCAGGCTCTTTTCCTCAATATCTGGTAACAGTCTGATCAGTGTCTGACATGAGGGGACCTATAGTAACAGTGTTGTTTGCTATGCAACCCAAATCCATTCCCAGAACAGGCGCAGGAAAAAGATGACTTGGTTTCCTGAGTCAGTTTTCCTATCAGTTTTGGAAGGCTGTATCACTTAAACTGAAGCATCGACTTGCAAATCAGTTCAGACACAGGGGAACTTCCAGAAATGTGGTAGTTCATGCATCTCTAACCCTCTGTGATAATTAACTTCAAAATACTTTGAGAGGAATATAAAGCTTACATACTTTCAGGATGAGGTAGAGAAGGCCCAGCAATATCCCAAGGGTCCATCCTAGTACACTGTCCAGCTCCCCATAGCCAATAAGATAACGGAACCAAACTGGTATGGGGACAAACATACGGTAATACTGGCAGAGTTCTTCTAACAGCATGTACCAGTAGCCCTAAGCAAGACATGCAAAGGAATCACTCAAGATTTAAAACACAAAGGATTTTTAAAATAGAGGAGAGATGCATTGTTATTCTTTGGAGTAACTTCCTGTTATTATCTTGAAACAACTAAATATGGAGCACGAAGAAGAATTAAGACCAGATGATAAGTCTCACCACAATTGTACAAATACAGTAACATGACTGTTGTACTGCAGAAAATCAAATTAATAGGCTAAAATAGGATGGCTTGTCAGATGCCTTCCTACTTTGCAATACTATCAGACTTAATTACATAAGCATTAAAAAAAAAGTTACAAGAAAAAGGAAAATAAGACAAATTCAGTCCTGTGGATCTGCTTTTCATTAGCGGAGTTGTGTCCTGCATTCAGGAGTGAAACATGAGAGTAAGGCCCATTCTTTTATTAACAAATATAAGTTACAGACTGTTTTCCTGTAAATATTAGTTCACGCCTCTGTAAGAAGCCTTGAGATGATTAACTCCTATACAGGGTGGGATGATAAGAAAATTGAGGGGCCAGAAAAGAAGCATAGGGTAGCTGGATGGAACAGGTAAACAGAATTCAGTGACAGCCTAAAAATTACTGAATAACAACTCCAAAGCACAGGTGTCCTGCATAGGGCTCTGTGTACGTGCATGTATAATCACAGGTATTTAGCTTAGCTCTCACCTTACTTCCTTACATTTGTCTTTAAATCTGTATTTATAACAGACAAGAAGTGCTCTTTCTACAATGTACACTGACTGGGTAATGCCACAATTTGCCACTATTGATCAGATTCCTTCTTTAATCTAGACAATGACAGTTTAGGTCACAGTTGGTGTAATGGAATTTTCAGTAACTATTTTTTAGATGTTCTATCAGTAGCTGTAGGAAAAACCCCTAGATATGTTGATTGTAAATCAGTACTTCGAGAAATCAATTGTACCTGGGAAAATCTTGTTCTGGTACATTTTGCAAGAGAAAAACCTACCAAAACATCCTGTTCAAATGCTGCCACATACAAACTGTACTTGTTAATCTTTATATATTTTTCCTTTTTTTTTTTTTTGTTTTTACCACTATTAGTATTTGGTGTTTTGACATAAAAATTTAATTGCTTTTACCTCTCTCAGGAAGCAGATAAAAATAAATACCCTACCAACCAGTGTAGGCTCCTGTGAAAATGATTAAACTTCACTAGTTTGAGGAATTAAGCTATGAATCAAATTAAATGATCTGACACAACTATTGCTTAATTTATTAACAAGAAGAAAATTCAGAATTATTTCTGAAGAGACAGAAAACCAGCTGTTTTCATGCACAGATCTTAATGTCTTCCCACATCAGTTACTGTCAAGCACATAAAAAATTTACTGTGCTTCAGCTGCTGCAACTGCCTCTCCACACACTCTTACACTGCAGCAAATAAAAGGTTTCCACATTGTCCCCCACTTAGAGACAGAAATAAACTCATTTATCCGATGACATAATACAAGCAGTTGTTTCGGATCAGACTGTAAACCTTCCTTAGCACCAAGCAGGGAAGAACCTGAAATCCACAGGGTTTTCTTGCCCCACAGTGTAGTGGTGGATTAGATATAGACGTTTAATTAAAAAGACTTTTCTCTGGGTAGCTTTTAGTAATTAGCTAATTTTACCTCAAAAGAATTTTCATAAGGAAGCAAAAATACAGCTTGTTTCCTTACCTTGGATTTAAAGGACATCATAAAAGAAGGCACCAAGAGAATAATGCACTTGAAGCCCATGAAGAGGAATTTCAGAATAAAGTCTGTGACTCCCACAATCCAGAGTACCTCCCAGAAGTTCATAAAATCCACAGTAGGGTTTAAGAAGATTAAGCTACAAGAGAAGTATCAGAAGTTACTGGAACACCCTATTTAGAGGAAAGCAAAACCAGAGATTACCCCAGCAGGTTTAATTATAAAAGAAAACCTGGTTTACACAGAGTAAAAATATTTGCTAACGAAATTAACTCTTTATTGTAAATTGTCATTCATGATATCTGACAACCTTTCAATTTTTGAACCTTCTTTCCTTCATCACAATCCCCATCCTCTAGAGATTAGCTTGCTTCCTCACTGTAGCAATACAGCCTCTGGCTGATTTACCACCAAGACTCTAGTTACAGAATAGTAAGGGGAAAAAATAAATTGGAGGCATAAGCTCTACAGAGCCCTAGAATGCCATAGTTAGTATTGCAAAGGCAAGCTCGCAGGGTCAAAGCTGGGAATAAACCCAGGTACATTCCCCATGGTACAGTTGTGTATGGGGTCTAGCAAACTCCAGCATACTGTTTTTAAAGACAGCACGTGTTCAGCTTGGCAGAAGAGGAGGAATGGAGATTAATTGTGGCATTGGTTTCTCCTTCATTTTAAAGAAAAACAGCAGCAGCCCAGATAAAATGTTCCCAGTTTATATTTGAGTAATTTATGATGTGAGACATTCCTTTACTTACCTGTAATACAGTGACTGAGAATGAAACGTGTGATACAAGAGGAGGGATGATCCAGTTAAGTATACTAGTAACCAAGCACATTGCAACTTGGAGCACCGTTCCTGTAAGGTAATTGTAAAGACATATTACAGCCCTTATCTCAGTATCAGTGTCTTAGATGTATCTCCAAAGCACTAACTCTGTTGCACCTGAACAGTTACTACTAGAGGATTTTCTCTCTAGTGGGTTTAGGCCAAATAAAATAGAACTCAGTGGAAAGGTAAAGCAGTTATTTTAGTTTTCAATGTAATGATTTATATGTGTATCAAATTTTTTCTAAAAACACGAGCAAAACCCACTCCACTCTGAAGAAACAACAGATTTTTCTTTGGGAGTGAACAGAGACAGCTGAAAGCTTTAACTCTCAACTGCTGTTTAATTCCACAAATATATTTAAGATGTTCTTCCATGAATTCCAAAAAACTTCTATCAGTTGAAGTGATTTCAATACTCAAAGTCAGAGGAGGGAAAAGCCCCTCTTTTTGAATTTTGCAAACCTTACTTATCTGAGCAGCTCTACGCTGTACTGAAGCATTGAGATTTAACTTCCATCTTGAAACCCTGACATCGAATATTCTTAGGTAAATTAACCAGTATCTCCACTTACATTTCTTTCAAAAATTGGTGGATAAAGGTCTTGGTTAACTTACAGAATTTTGTTGTATAACATGATACTTACTCTTAGAAAAACCTGATTTACTATGCTTTTGTTTGCATACACATAAGTTGTTAGCAGCCCAATTCCAAGAGAAATGCCTATTAAGAAAAAAGGGTCAGTTATACACAAAAAAATAAAAAAAACCCAAACCCTGGGTTATAAAACCAGACGCTTCTAATACATCTTCGTAATTACAATTAATTAATAGCTCAGACTGTCAAGCCAGAATAATTATGCACATTGTACATAAGCCAGCAAAGGAAACAGAAGCCACTGAAATGTAGTTAGTAAATCTCTCTTTCTGATAAAGCAAATAAAAATAAAGCTAAAAATAAATTGAATTATATTTCAGGCATGGTTATTAGTATATCTCTTGGGGGGGGAGGGTCTGTTCCCTCAGACCTTATTTTGTTATACTCTACCAATTATATGCTGCATGACCAATTTGACACACAGAATCAAGATATACGGCAGACTTCTGTGCAGCCACTGGAGCAGGTATCTGAGCTCTGAGAGGGAGCTGCTGCTGTGTTCCTCTGAGTCTGGAGTGGAATCATCGAGTCCCCCTGCTTCGCCGTGGGCATGTCTATGGGTGCGACTATGGGAACCTGGCCTTGAATGCTGGGAATTCTCATTTTCTCTGGCTTCTCCCACAGCAGAGTTCAGCTGTATGCGAACGTCTCCACTATGATGGCACGAGCTCTCTCCTGACAACCTCGCTGTGTGGGTGCTCTGAGGAGATGAAGAGTCATCGCCGCTCCCTTGGATATTGTGGAGATGACTGCAGTTTGGTTGCATGGTGGGATTTTTTTTCTGGTACAGATTCTTGCTATTTTGTCTCCTAAAGTGGGATATTAAAAGTCACAGCTGAAGGAAGAGAGAACTAGTTCAGGGAAAAAAACAAAGCAAAAAACACCCCAACGAAACGGAAACCCCAACATAAATACAATAGTGATTGTCTGTTTGAAGTAAAGATTCTCTTTGTCCTGAAAGCTGGTGTGCTGGGTTTGCACCCTGTCTCCACGGGGCAACTTTCTGTGTGCCATATAAAACTATTTCCTTTTTGTCACGTGCAGATTTTCTAGCCTGGCTGCCTTAGCAGAATTTAAAGTTGCTTCAATGCAAATCAGAAGAGAAAAAGCTGCTGAACAGGAGAACAGCACTAGAGATCTTAGAAGTGCTGCATAATTTCACAAAAATAGTAACAGTAACAGGCCAGAGAAGGAGCAAACAGTGATAGGAAGGAAGCAAAGAGTACATTTACATGTGCCCATGAAATAATAAGCATTTGTTCAGACAAGTCTAGTCAAAAGCCAGTGCATGCTCAGAATTGAGGGCCATTATGACATTAATGAGATTATCCTATCTGGGGAAGTGCGCAGAACCAGGTTAGTCCACTTTGTAAGAAGCAGTTAAAAGAGCCTGGACCATATGGTCTAGGTGAAAAGACTTGCAGCCCACAAGCCATAAGCTAACAGCGAGACCACCCAAATGAGGTCTTACTTATCTTTCCTTTGGCATCTTTCTGTTGTCTTCCTGGGCAGTTTTTCACTTGTGTGTCAGTCTTAACATTGGTCAAATAGTGTTAGATCTACATCTCTGGACTGGTTTGACATCACAGTAATGATTTTGCAGAATGCTTTGAAGCGGGATTTAATACAAAACTTGTAACTATTGAATAATATTATTGGGAATTTTGTTACAATCCTTTTTCTGTGATTCAGACTCTTTCAGATTCCTCTCTGAAGTTATTTTTTTCCAAAGCTCAGTGTACATACACAGCTAGTTTCACTGGGGATACAGAAAGGTTAAAGCAAAATTGGTTTTGTGGTCCAAAAAGTTCTTAATACATTTGCACAAACCTAGAATTCTTTAGCCTTTAAAGGGAGGATTTTATTAGAAGAGCGAATTGCATTAATTTAAATAATATATGAATACGGGAACTTTACTACCATTTAGAAGTGCAGCTGCTACTACTCCATTTTTGTTGGCCAAAGATTACATCATACTTAAGTCCAGCCAAAAGTCATGTTCTGTCATTTTATGCACATGAATAAAGCCAGGGAGCTGGGGATAGCATTGCCTTGTGTGAGCAGTATTACTAGGTGTGTCTGCAGGATCAGGCCACGAATGCTGTTTTAAAAAGGAGGGGAATTAAGTATCTCATTAGCAGCCTTCAGTTAGTGTTTTAGGGTCTGCTTCTTCAAAACCTTGACAGTTCGGTGTTAAGTAAGCGGTCCCATTGTTCGAGTACCTCAGCTTCCCTTGGCACCCTGCCTAACAAACTTTCAAATAACTAAGTTAATTAGCAGGATTTCAAAGCGCAAGAAACCCGCACGCAGCTTCCCGAATTCCTCCCCCCGCCCCTAATTAGATGAAATAAGGTCTCTGATAAAAAGGCTCTTTTCCTCCAACGTTCCCCGTTTCTTCCTGGGCCGCCGTCTCCCACCGCACCCGAACGGAGTCTCTCCCG